TGGACAGCTATCATTTATTAGGAAGTTAGGTTTCATCTGGGTGCCTGGTTGGGGTGTGTTTGAGCTGGAGGTATCAGGGGGATCTGTTTGTGCCCAGGTGTTTGCCTGGCTTGTGGTGTGGAGAAACTTTGCTACAACTTTAAAAGCACAACTATAATGACGTGGGAAAATACCCGAACAAAGCTGAATACCATACATGTAAGTACCCATGAAAACTTAAGAAAACACACACACACACACATATCTATGTAAATTTGTATTATTTGTTATATGTGTTATTTGGTGATGTAAGACAAATAGGTGTGTTGGGATGTATGTACCACATTCATTGTTTTTAAATGTTTTTCCTTTTGTTTCATTAATAAAATTTACAAAAAAGATAAATAACTGCCCAGAGTAAAAAAAAAAAATCCAAGCTGTGTCCTTGAGACACTGAGTAAATCTGCCAGTAGTCAGTTTGTGAGGCTCTTTAGGAACATTATTGCATCAGAGCAGAATCAGCTATTAAACTGTTAGAGCTCATGACAGTGGCCAGGGGGAGGGGAAAACAACACTTTTCCATCTCCTTATGCAGTTATCATGATGTTTTTCTGGTTGTGAGGGTATATCCAGGAATTCATTTATCAGATTTAGATCCAGATCTAATTTAATTTTTTTATAGGAGAACTGGAAGAAAAAGGATCTAAACAGCTACAACTCAATTTTGCTCCAGGAACTGGGAACCAGGGAGAGAATTAAATTAAGAGGGGAGCTCCTAACATTTGTTTCTTCAAACTGCTGGCAGCTTTCACTAAACAGGCCACATATAAGAGGGGTGCAATGACATTGCTGATCAAATTCAAGCTTTGAGTGCATTGCTGATAAATATTTCACTGTCTAATTATTGTATTAAATGTCCATGTCCTGAACTGGGAAGTTGCACAGTTAAATTAACAGCCATCCAACCTCTAGTTGAGCAGCTCTTAGATGAAGACTTTATTGACAGGACAAGAGAAATGACCCAGTTCTAGAGTATAGATGTAGAATTTCAGCATTCTTCTCCAAGCAACAATTTCCTTAGATGTATTTTAATCAAAAAATGGGAAATGAAATTTACCAGCCAAGGAGATGGTTCCATTATGAATGGAAAAAAGTTTGTGTCAATGGAATAGATCAAGGGAAGGTGATTTTGATTATTTCTAAACTGAACACTACACATAGCTATCTCTCAAAGACTTTAAAAACCTATAGTAAATATTAGAGCTGCTTTCTCTCCAGGCAGATTATGATCACGTACCTTAGTTCTGCTCCTTCATCCAAAGGACAAGGATGTGTGGTAGAGCCCTTGTTGTTGTTCTCAACTGCTGAATGAGGAATCAGGCTGAGGCTTGCCTTCCATAAAATGATCAATATGTGTCAGATCATTACAAGCTAAGATTTTGAATTTCTACCAGCATGGTGCAAAATAGTTGCAAGGCATCTGAAAGAACAAATGCTATGATGCTAGACAATCCTGACTGGGATGTACTGACACATAATAAGTCCTTTTTGCATGAAGCAAGAACATGTTACCCAGCATGGATCTAAATATTGGTGTGGAAAGTTTTGATGGTATGCCAGCAAAAAGCCCTTGGCTGTCATTTATAATATCTGGCAGCAACAACTGAACACTCCTAATCCAGTAGAGTATTACAAATAGTTACAAGCAATTAAAAAAAACAGAAGAATACAAAAATGTGTCCTGAGAGCAGTCAAGAGCAGTTGTCAGACTGAATGCCCAGGATAAATTTTGGAGACTGTGTAGAAACATGATTTCCCTGGGCTTGGCAGAAATGACTGGCAATCAATGGTGGTTTCAGAAGGAAGCAAACTAATTAGGCAAATCAGACCTAGAAAGGTCCCAGAAGAGGATTAATGCAATTTGAATTCATAGATAATTATTTGGCTAGTGGGGAAACTATCCAAGTTTCACTCTTCATTTGCTGTGTAAAATCAGGTGTAAAGGGTGTATGTTTGCCACAATTGTCAGCATTTCCACAAAGATAAAAAAGAGCTTTCTTTACTAAGTCTTGGTCAACAAGCTAAGTCTTGATCACAAGCCCTATTAGCTTCTTTTACTGGCTTTTATGCTTATGCTTGAAGTTCATAGATATAGCGGGGAATACCTTGGCAGATGACCAGGATGGCCTTAGATCAAACCAATCCTTGTGTGATCTGAACTCCATATTTTACAGTTTGATCCTAAAGTAGTCTTGTCTATTGCTTTGACAAGATTTCATAGAAAGTTTTTGACCTGGTATCCAGGAAAATCTTTGGATGAAACTTAATGAATTGAGCAAGGACTAACACTGATGATCGTACCTGGTTTAGATAATAGAATGTCTTATGAAAAAAAAACCAAGCTCAGAGAGCACCAGGGACCCCTCAATAAATAGTTGTCTCCTCCCTCCAGACCTGGGCTACTATGAGGGGTCCTTGCTCCTCCCTGAGCTTTAATTGTTTTCTTGCAGATGTTTCATTACCCAAACTAGGTAAGCACATCACTGCTAAATTAGTTACCTA